AACTGCCAGGGGGAATGAAAGGAAAGGAAATCTGTGGGTGGAAACATCCTTCTCTGGTGGCTGCTTGTTCAGAAGTGGCCGAAGAGAAATACTTCTGCCCCTTCTTATCTGGGGCTGGCTGAGAAAGGGAGGTCTGAGCGAGGGAGGGAAGAGTGGGAGGAGGAGAGGGAGGATTGGAGGGACAGGAGGCCTGAGGGAGGTCTATTAGAGGACCCTCTCTATTTGTAGGCTGAGAGGCAATGAAGGAGGAAGGAAAGAGGGAATAAAAAGTAGCCAGAAAAAGAGAAAAAGAGGGGGAATATTAAGGGAGTGTAGAGAGGATAGGTCAAAAATCTAAGACAGAGAGATAAGACAACACGCAGAGAAAGAGAGGGCAGAACAAGAAACTAAGCTGTTGAATGAACACAGAGGAGAGAAAGAGATCTAGCTATGGTTTAGTAGCTGCAGTAATCTTGTAAAGTAAATCCTGATGCCTTGTATGGTCATTTATACTGAGTCAGCAACTGCTCTGTCCTCAAAACAAAGCCACGCTCTGGGGCATCATGGGAGATCAGGCAAGCAGAGGCAAACCATCTAGTCCACAAAAGTTTGGGTTGAAAAAAAAAACATTTAATCAATTTGAGCCATGCACAACTAAGCTACAACTACCATGTCAGTCAGTGACGTCATTGGGCCCAAACATACTTTTTCCCATTGACTTACACTGGGAGAGATCAGCGGATATTGAAAGTAAGTAAATCAACTACCCAGTACCAGTAGTAGTGTGAAATGTGCTAAAAGCAGAATCTGGAGATATTTTTTCTCTGCATTTATTTGACTGAGTTGGGATGGTCGTGATGCGGATGCGGATTGGGGGCGGGGCTAAAGGAAAAGGCCAGTGTGCATGATGGGCCAATAGATGTGGAAGATTGCCAGAGGAGGGAACTTCTGGGTATAAATGTTCTCGTTAATTGAGCAGTCTTGTATTCATAGGGATGAACCCCTTCTCCAAAGCTGTATCCAGTCCTCTTCATACATCCATGGTTAAAGTCTCTCTCTGTCGCTGCATGCACCTTCTCATCTGTCCTGCAGCTCTTCACTCTACATGGAAGTACACACTAAGATTATTTCCAGACAGATGGCTCGGCCCCAGGCTTGTGAAACACTAGCTCAACATGTGTGGAGAGACGTGAGTTGTCGATTATTGAGGTTTATTTGCACAGCGATAAACTGTTCTGCAGAAGTTGACGGATACAGATAAAAGCAGAGATAAGAGACAAAACTTACACATTCGTGCAAAGAGATAAGAATCCTTAAAAGTGACATTTGAACTCCAAATAAAAAGATATAGGGTGTGTTTCTGCATCATCCTCAAAGTATGAAGAGAAATGGCCGATCTCATCGTCCTACGTATTTATTTTGACATTAGACATCTTGTTTTCAGCTGACCTGACCTCGGTCTACTGTTACTGCTGTGCTGTGGCATACATCTTAATTTTGGCGGGGTCACTCACTTAATGTTGGCCGATTGGTCCTTTGGGGGAGGGCAGAGGGTAACAGCGAGTGGCTTCTGCCCAAACCGGAGATCATTCTCATGGGAACAGGAGAGGAGGGAGAGTCTGGAGCTCAGAGCTGCGAAACATAGAACTGTTCCAAATGCTCTGATTGCAGGATTTTTTAAGAGTTATATGTTTGGCTCTCAAATCTAGTTAAAAAGCGTCCATCTGATACTCGTTTCTCGATCACAATCCTGACTGAGGCATGAGCCAAAATATCTGATTATTAATTCATCTTTTTGTCCTACCCAGATAAGGTTTTATGTCCTCAATTGTTTTAATAATTTATTTATGATGATTTTTTCAGATTTCGAATCATAGCCAGACATTTCCCTGATAACTTTTTATTTCAAATCTTTATATGTATTCATCCAGGAGAGGTCTCATCCAAATACCAATATGATTCAATCAATTGTGTTCCTTACAGTTCTAAAAGTTGGATGGATTGCATCACAGTTTGATAGTTGTGTCTTGAGTATATAAGCTTCAAGGTTCAAGGCTTTTATTAGTCATACGTGCATAGCTACAGTGTAGTCATGACGATGAAAATCTTAGGACACAGGCTCCTCCAACAGTGCAACACAATACAACAGATAAACAGTGCAAGTAAATAGTAAATAGTAAATACTGAGAAAGCTGAAATTCCCGACAAGTTTTCATAAACTGACGATCAATATTCGGTCTCAATACCCAAAAATGTCATAACATTATGAAATGTCCTCGTCCTAAGATGCCAAAGAAGATTAGGACGAAATGTTCGGAGATAAGCTTCTGTGCCATCCAGTTCTGTGTGCTGGTGGCGACTTTCATTTCTTCTATTGGGCAGATATCAGGAGCAACAAGAGGGCGCAGGAGTCATGAACCAGCCCTTCTCTCTGTGGGAACGCACGTACGGATGAGGATGTGTCTTTTTTTATTGCAGGATTTGATTTCAGCTATGTCTGTTTTTCTTTTTGTCCCTTTCTAAACACAACATGGTCTGGTTGTTGTTTTTTTTGGTAACATGATGACTGGTTTTATTACTGTATTATATTAATAAGTCTAATAGGGTAATTTCTCCAAAGATATCAATTTCCGGTGACCATCAGGATGTTTGATGTTGGTCTGAAATAAGTTTGATTTGTTTCCTATGAAATCTTGCATCATGCATTCACTGTGTTTTGATTTTCACTTTAATATCTCTAGTTTTTACATATCTTAAAGTATTTAAGTTAGTTAGCAAAATAGTTTCTCTTCCATCTGTTAAAGGTGGAGTAGGTAATTCACTTCAGAAACACTTTTTGTTATATTCCATGGAATGCTCTTAACATCCCGATAGCAATGAATACATTAAATGCTTTGACAATACAAATATACAAATATTTCATCTGTGGAAGCCATGGCGCTGTAAAAACCAAGTCCAATTGTCTGCCTCGGCCCACGGCAGATAATTGGATGGCCTACCTGCCTGTCAGCCTTCCATCTCGTGCACAAACTTATCTCGTGCCCTCATTGGTCATGTGCGCATTCGTGTGTGTTGGAGGAGGGGCTCTGTGAGGAAGTCTGAAGGAAGGGCAGATTTTTTTCGGTTGTGTACTTTCAAATTCTAGCTTACTCGAGCTGGTTTCTCCATTCTTACCTACCTTTAAGCCAGGGACATAGGAAGCAAAAAGCAAGACATAACAGCAAGTAAATTAGATATGAAAGAAAATAGGGTGAGGAAGAAACAGACAAATAAGGATAGTGGAGAGAAGAGTTTTGTAGTGAGAGACAGAAACAGACAAAAATAATGATTTCCTGTCTTAAGGAGTCTTTATGAGGAAATAACCATCTTGGGTCTAATAAAGTCTGACAAAAATCTGCGGAACCTATTATTTCCATAGAAAGAAGAGTAAGGCCAAAATGTGGTTGTGTATGTATGTTTTCTGAAATGATAAACTCTTGTTATTTTTATTATAGCCGGTATGATGTCTTTGTCAAATTGGTTGAATATTAATAGAAGTTAACAAAGATGATGCCGTTTGTATGCAGGCATCTTAAGCATCAGTGCTTTTAGATGTATTTGTTGGTAAAGAGACTAGGTCAATACTTAGATTTACCTCAGATTGAACCTTAACCTAAAGCTTAAAATCTCTACTATAATGACCTTTCATGGTAGTCCTGATTTTGGGATTGTTGGGGGTATGATTAAATGCAAGTTAAAGGTGACCTATCATGCAAAATGCACTTTTGTACGTCTTGATACATGAATATGTGTCCCCGGTGTTCCAGGGAAGTGTCAGAAAACACAACTCTCTATTTCCCTCCATACCCAAATCTCTAAAAAAGGGGCTGCAACGTATCTGATACAGACTGATCCAGATTTGAACACTTCTATGACGTCACAGAAGTGCCGCTACGGCTATTGGACCAACTCCACCAATCAGGAGGAGACCGCCACGGACATTGCCGTTGGAAAGCTCTGGAGACGCTGTAGTACATATGCCAGGCCTGTAGATGGTGCTGTTCTCACAGAATCAGCCCATGCAAAGACAGTGTTACATTGAGCGAAATGAGGAATGGCTAAAATGCATGATCTGTTTGGTATTTTGAAAAATAAAAAGTATAAATATGCCTTATATAGGTATGGTCCTACATTATATTATTCAAATATAGCATGATAGGTCCACTTTAAATTAAAAAGACCCAAATAATGGGTGCAATCGAGTTTCTCTACACACACACAACACATGACCACCTGATTTGACATCACTTAATGGCATGTAAACTGAATACCACAAACAGGACTAAAATCATGAATAATGCCGACTACAAAATGAGTTGAAAACTAAATGAATTTAGTGTCTAAACCTAAATAAACATGGTCTATTTATACTCCATTTAAGCTAAAAGTATCAAGAATAGTCTATAAAATATGTCTGTGATTGTCTCAGCATTAAAAACGTGTAAAAAATGCGCCAGTGAAACAAGAATCAAGCAGCAGGTTAAGCAATGTGCAAACGAGACGAGGTGTGTGTGTGTGTGTGTGTGTGTGTGTGTGTGTGTGTGTGTGTGTGTGTGTGTGTGTGTGTGTGTGTGTGTGTGTTTGTGTGTGTTTGGCAGACATAAGAAAAGGATGCTTTACTGTGTTTGATGTTACATGTCTGCTCAAAGCAAGATGTAACAAGTAAAAAAGTTTGAGGGGATTTGTGTGTACATTTGTGTGTTTGCAGCGGAATTTGAGTCATTATGACAAAACATAATTTTGCTGCTTTCAGTTCATAGTAATAATACATTTGTGCACCCAATTTATTAATTATGACAACAGATTTGAGGGGGACATTTTTCACAGCTTATAAAGTGTAATACATAATTAAACTTGTCTTTTTACTCCATGAAACAGTCAGATGTCAGGGCCTCTATGACACGTGAGCGTTTGAATATGAAGCCTTCTCCTTACACTTAATGTGGAGTGTTTTATGTAAACAGGATCACTGTATGGCACACTTAGCGTCCAGGATGTGGAATAATGTGTGAACCTGATAGCACGGCGCTGCTGTGATGGACGAGGTCACGACCCTCCTCACACTTTGTAATTCTCAACACCTGCAAAAACACATGATGGGATGTAATCTGAGGAGCTTCGTGCTCATTCATGAAAACAGAGGGAGGTTTTTCTGTGTACATGCAGATGAAGGGATGACAGGATGAACCCTGCTCAGCTAAATGCATCAATTCAGTGTTGATGGATAGAGAAGACGAAGGAGTAGTTATCTTTAATTGGTGTATGGAAGAAATATCCATACAAAGGTATTTTGAAAACTGGGTGAGAAGGAATTAAATTATAGCACATTTTTCCAGCTATTCTGGTTTGGTGTTTATCAATAAACCAATTAGAGCTCTGTGTATCTACCTGTTGGGCTATACATTCATAAAATATTGCAAAAAGGAGAGTTCATAGAAGTGAAGATGACATCAACGCAGCTGTGCAGGTTGTTGTAAGTAATCTTATACTTCTTTCAAACAGAGGATATGCATGACGCAGTGTATTTAATACAGATCACTTGTGAGGCAGCTGTCACTCTGCTCCAGTCTGCAGCTTTGTCCCCAAAAAGTCAATCTGTGGATAAAAACAAATGGAATTGTGTAATTACCAATTAAGTTTCGACCAAATTTGGTACAAATGTAACTTAGTTTGTGCCAGTACCTCTGTTTGTCTAAGTTGTGTTTATATATAAGATTGGAAGTGCTTTAGCTGGACATGTTGAAGTCTATCAATCATTTAAGTTGAACTTTACCGACGTTGAGTAAAAAGATAAGAGGAGATTGAAGACATAATGTCTCATTTGAAGCATCTCAAAGATGAACTGAGCGGCACTTTAAAGGCTTTAAACAGACGACTGGAGAATTTATGGCTCCGAACAAATCCTTCTTTCTGACAAGACTTTCATTCAGCTTCAGTGATCCTTCGAAACTTGTGTTGCTAGGTAAAATGTGTCAAAACCTACAAATATTATAAATAACAAATAAACTTAATTCAGCACATTGGCAGCATCGTTTCACACAGAAGCCTTTTCATTTTAAACAAGGTGATGTAAAACAATTATTTAAGAAAAATGCTGTGATTTAATGTCAGTAAACACATCAAGAAAGGTGCCGAAGTAACTACACAATGATACAGAGTAAAGCAGTGATACGTACATGTCAGGTCTTTGCACGAGATGACAAGCAAAACGTTTTTTGAATACATTTCTAACAAATGGTAACATAGCTGATCCATCAACCCTCTTAGTTGCCACATCTAGGCACATATGGCAGCAACTTTATTATTTAAACGACACACCATTATGAGGTGCTGAAGACCGCTTGGTGACTTCTGATTTATGTACGTCAGTGAGAACAGGAGCTCAAAAACAATAGGCAAACGTTTTTAACTCAAACAAATATGCCAATGATACGAAATATTCCATCTTAGGTCAAATTGCTTTGTCGCTATTTTGTCTCCTGGTGCACATATGCGTCTTTTGCATCTTTGTATTGACTTTAAAGGTTATTTTCCATCATGACAAATCTCTTTTGCGTTCGGTGTGAAGCACCATTAATGTAGCAGAAGAATAAAAGGTATCTAAAACATGTGTCCAAAAACCTCTCCAGAAATGCACTTAACATTACAAAGTGAATCGTTTAGGAATATGTATTTAGGGTTTTGTTCTGTTAAGGTCAGCGGAGGCCTATATTCAAAGTTCAACATATTTCTGGCTCAAACATGGGCTGAAGGGGTCAGGCTTTTTCTGTGTTTCATAACCAAATAGTAATGTTATATTTAATGAAAGAGTCTAATACTTTACGTGCTGTATCATGTAAACTGAACTCCTAGTCAAGAGTCTCTGTCCAAAGTAAGATGAAGAAAGGAATGCTTTCAGGGAGGGAGTAACAACATATCATTACTTTAAAGAAGAGCTGCAGATGTATCTTCAAATGGACCACAGAGCACGGTGTTAATGGAGGGAGATTTCCCACCATTAGTAATAATCATGTTTATATTGTACTATCTGCTTCATTCTGACTGTATAACAAAAGTAATTCAAAACCTGATAAGAGACGCTATGAAGATTAACAAGGTCACTCAGCTAATTAATGGCATTGAAAAGGAAGTTTAATCTACCTACTTTAGAGTCATTTCTGACAAGATAAGAGTCAAATTGCAGGATTATTTATTTTTAAAAGGATGGCTCCCATTATTAATCAGTGGCAGAGCATCTTTCCTTGTTAAGGGCGGATTGGGGGCTAGTTTTAGATCAGGAGGACGTCCTGCAGCCGGCTCTTACTGACAGGCTTTTAAATCCTTAAACAAACAGTCTCCAGCTCCCCTCACTGCAGTGTAACATTAACCGTCATCAATCAAACTTCAACATACAGCGGCTTCGCTCTTCAATGCAACATGTTCGTAACCACTGTAGAGTAAGACCTGTCACAGACTCCTTTATTCTTTAGTCATGGTTCACTTAGGCAATAGATAAAGCTGGAGGCAACACTTGCTCATGCTTGTATGTATTTACGAGTCCCTCATTATGAAATCATCCTTCTGGTTTTCTATCTGTCCATTAACATAAATCATGTTTCAGTGTCGAGGTAATTTGTTAAAGCTTTAAGGTGGGAGTGAACCCCACTGGTTACGTTCATCTTAGACCAGCGAACTTCCCAGTGAACAAAAACGTGTGAATTATGGGAAAACACAAGGCGCTATATCCATGTAGAGGTGCTGAATTTAAAAATGTTGTGATGTACAAGTCTTTTTATTTTGTATTTGATGTTTGCTTTGCTTAAGTCTGACACATTTTGATCAGCTCATTTCTAAGGGTACTTCTTGTTAAAAGTACCTAAAGACTGTAAACCTAAAGGCCAACATGTGCAACTGGTCAGAAATATTCTTAATTGGTACTAATTAATGATAACCATTGCCATATAAACTCCTCGGCCCCAGCCCTCTCACTCAAATTGAGTAAGGTCGACAACGGGCAAGAATTTCAGTACGTTTCCAAACAAGTGGGATGGCATCACCCCTCAAATCACATTCTGTCTTACTGTATGTATCGATTCTTTCTTGAGTTTGGTATTTACTTGATTGAACTGGTTCAAGGGGAAAGCCACAGCCTGGCACTCACCACATGACACAAAGAGAATGACACACAGTTTCTCAGAATACCTCTGCGTGTGGTATAAACAATCAGATCACCATCTCGTGATGTATCTAATGTTATTGCCAAGTGTTATCAGGGTATAACAGCATAGCATCTACACCCAAACAAACACAAAACTACACGACAACAATCACACGTTGCTTTCCTCTTTAAGGTTTCAGGTACGTCAATTGAGCCTAGACTTTAACTTTAGCTCAATCACCCTGTTCTCCCATCAACAGGTTGTTAATAACTAATAAATCACAGTGGGTCAAAGCCAGAGAAACTACTCTGCATGTGAGTTTGGTTCTTGGGTTTTCTCTACAGAACATAAAAAATGTCTTATCTCTCTTTTCTTTCCAGATTGGCTGGCAGTCCCACCGGCCCTGAACACACACTCATAAACCATAAACACACAATCAGCCATTGTTCCATGTTTCACTTGGAGCAGATGACAATTGCTATCAGACTCCAAACCCACGGCTTCAGCCAAAACACATTAGAGTTCTTTGAAATGAGGCGAGGGTCCCTTCTAGTCACACAGAGAGGACCTTCGGGTTGTAAAGTATTGCCTTAAATTTCAAGTTTCAACACAAACAACACAATGTGACGGTGTGTGTGGAGGTCAGTGGGAGGACTCACACTTCTTAACACAGTTGTACCTGCTTCACACTGACACACTGTGATGTTTAACACCGGGGTTGGAAGAGGAGGTGATTTTCCCAACCAGTCGTGTAATCCGACAAATTGTCTTTCTTGTTGTAAAAGCTTTCTACTATCTCACCCTTTGACTCAATGTCATTTTAGGCCAAACACACATTCAGCAATGTGTTCAGAGGGTATTATTCTTCAAATAAATAAAAATACTTCTTTCAATCTTTGAGCTTTTCCAGGGTGGCTAATAAAGTTTTTCTGTAGTGTGTCAGCTCAGAACATATTTGTTTGTTTGTTTTGTTAAACCAACCGCACATGCTACAATATGATTAATTGACTTAAACATTATCGCATTGATTCCGCTAAGAAGAAGAATATCGTTCCACTGCGTACCAATGGCAGGAAGTGCGGCATCAACAACGTAACTTAAATGACGACAGCACTGATCAAGGTTTTCTGTAACTGCCCAAGTCTGTTCACATTTTCTTTTTCTCAGGAGAACAGTTTGATCTTTTAGAAGCCCCAACAGATGGTGGGCTTCTAAAAGATCAAACTGTTCTCCTGAGAAAAAGAAAATGTGAACAGACTTGGGCAGTTACAGAAAACCTTGATCAGTGCTGTCGNGGGGAGGGGGGGGTCCAAGAGCACGGCCATATGGTCAAGGCTCATCAAACACTAGGCAGACCTACATAAATAAAGAATACAGATGATGGGGTGAGGGAGGAAGGAAGGGAGGAAGGAAGGGAGGAAGGAAGGATGGACGGGTGTTGTGACGGAAGGAGGGAGCGGAGGCCAAAACCACGGGACATCAGAGGCTAAAAGGAGAGAGAGAGAGTGTGTGTGTGTGTGTGTGTGTGTGTGTGTGTGTGTGTGTGTGTGTGTGTGTGTGTGTGTGTGCGTGCGTGCGTGCGTGCGTGCGTGCGTGCGTGCGTGTGTGTGTGTGTGTGAGAGAAAGTCATGATTTATAGCTCTTTTGTTCATTGGTTTCTAAAAATAATTCTGTGAACAGCTTCAATGACTCGCCGGCTTGATCAGCGTAAATCAAACAGACAGTGAAGAAAGCTTTGAGATAAAACAGAAAGAAATACACATCTAAAAACATATCATTTCTAAAAATACCGGCACAGATACTCTTTGTACAAAATATTCTTCTTCAGTGTTTCTTCCAGCAATAGATGCACCATGATATATTAGCTATAAGCGACTCATGCTTTATGCATACATTCACTTAACATAATAAATGGTATATTAATCAGTGAGCTGGAACAGAAAGTAATGACCTTATAATGTGCTCACATACACTTTGATTACATGCTGTGACTATGGCTGTTCAAAAGCAACATTCATTTAGTTATTTTGTATTTATTCCTCACAGTATTTACTTTTTCTGTCTCATAATCTATGTTTTTATCCAGTGTTTTAACATTATGCTGTTTCTGCAAGCATTGTTTTACCTCTTGACATCATTGTAAAGTGAGTTACCCCCTCCATGGATTTTTGAAATTGAATGAATGAATGAATGAAGTGATTTAGGCAAGATTTTATTTATTTATATCGTTTTTATTCCACTTCACTGTTTTTCGCTCGTCATTCATAATCTACTCAATAGTATGTTTATTGTCCTGGATTGTAACTTTTAGGTAATCATTAATATCAAAACACCTCTTGCTTTGGTATTTCAGGCTTGAACATATTCAACATAAAGCTTGATTATATTAAAGGTATATCAAATCATTTGTCATGATCCTAGTTTTTTTTTGTTTATCTTGCTCCCTTTTTATTTTGAGGTTTTCTCAATCTGTTTTCACTTCCTGTGTTCTCCCACCTGTTTGATTACTGGTCTGATCACTTTCACCTGACCTCCTGCTCACCTGTAACTTCATTCCCTCGTTAGTTCAGATTGTATTTACTCTTGTTCAGTCTTGGTCAGATTATTGCATAAGTCGTGCACCGTGTAGTTCTGTTTGGTTTGCATTGACATCTTCAAGTCATCATTCAAAACTCACCTGTTCACCGTGGCCTTTGACCCCTAACCCATCACATCCCCTACTTCCACTCCTACTGCTATGTATTTAATTATTTACTTTATTATTTGCCCCTTTTGTTTGTTTGTTCACCATGTCAAGCGGCGTTGGGTCCCTTAAAGGCGCTATACAAATGTATTCCGTTATTATTATTATTGCCTGTATCCTCAGAATCAGAATACCTTGATGAGTCCCACAGAGGGGACATGTATATTGTTACAGCAGAAAATAGCCAAAGACATCTTAATGTTACCTAAGACGCATGCATAAAAGAGTAAAAAAAGTTACACAATTGACAAAATACACATCCTGTAACAGTTCTGAGGATTTAGCAGCCAGGTATATATTGCACAGTTATTAACGGCATCTATATATATATATATATATTGCACATATTGCAAATATTGCATCCTGCGTTTGTTTGTGCCGACACTTGCTCTCATTTGTTTGTAAGGTTGGCAGAGCTGGAGTAAACCCTGTGAGCTGCTGCGAGTAAACGAGAAAAACAAAAAGCAGAAAATGTTAAAGTGTACCTGGGAGCTCTTCTCCATCTCCTCCATCATCCTCTCGTGCTGCTGGGCGATGGCCAGCGTGGAGGAGTGGACCCGCTGGTAGATCATCTCCCCCTCCCGCGTCTGGAACGTGAACAAACCCTCTCCTGTGTCACACATCCTGCGCCAGGAACACACACACACACACACACACACACACACACACACACACACACACACACACACACACACACACACACACACACACACACACAGAAAGAGATAAAGGCACATGCTTTGATCGCGTTCACTCTTGGATTGCTGATTTACAGAAAATGCATGGTTGAATGTGCACTTACAGAGAGAGGGGCATTGATATAATATCCCACTGAAGTCAAACACACACGCATGCATGCCTGAGTAGATAACAGTACACACACACACACACACACACACACACCTGAGTAGATAACAGTACACACACACTCTCACAGAGGCACCTGTCACATCAATGCCTGAAGCGCTCTGCGGCATGTTTCCTGGGATGCTTCCATATCCGAAAAGCGCTTTGTTGAAGTTTTTTACATTTCCAAAGTTGTTTTTCCCTCCCGCCGCCACACACACACACACACACACACACACACACACACACACACACACACACACACACACACACACACACACACACATTTTACAAAAATATGGATCCTTACCTCCATGTTATGTGATTCTCCTTTTCTTTTGGTTTTTGAACAACATGAATCTGTCAGAGAAATTGATAAAAGTGGTTGAATGTATTTTTTTGCTGTTAAAACAGACATTTGCCATTCTTATTCACATTTCCCTGGTTCAATATATTACAGAAATACTGTATTTTTCATATATGTGTTTATTCTAAATCCCCCCAGCCTCTACACCCATTACTTGTATTATTATAATTACATGTATTGATGAATTGATAAATGTAATAACTGTGTGCCAGCCCACCTACTTCCAGTGAATAAAAGTACTTATAAAGTAACGTGCAGAAATCTCTTACGCTTGTGTCTGAAGACGAAAAATAGCAGAAGCCCCAGCAGAGCAACACAGACCACAGCGGCGACTCTAGGAATCCAAGAGACACCTGCAGGAGACAAAACCCATGTCGCTTATTTTAACTAACATTAACTCCCATCGAGTCTGTGATATAACATTTAGTGGGAGTGTTTCATTTCTAATAACATCATTTAATAACATCATCTTCCTCCTGCAATGGCTGCAGTACGTTTCATAGAACAATACACATCAGTAGGTACATTTCTGTCCAATAGTTGCAGACCTAGTGAAGTTTTTGATGTAGACAGATAGACAGCATGGACTGTATTTAACAACTTATATCAGAGAAACCTTTATTATTCATCTCAGATATGTAGTTTCTCACCTTCCACCTCCAGTTGTATTTTCCTGAGAGCAGTTCGGTATCTTTTACTTGATTCCACTCCACACCAGTAGACTCCAGCGTGCTGTGGGGACACATTACTGATGGACACAGTGAAGCCACTCTCTGTTTCTGTGAGAGTGAACGTCCCATTTGACTTCGTTTCAGCAGATTTTGTTGATAAAATATCCTCACAGATTGAACCGTTCTCTTTGCAGAAAAACTTGACTCTCGAGTCGTCTTTGTTTTCTTTATCACATTTGATTATGATTGTATCTGTTTTGTACTCAGTTTGATGAAATGGTTCCTGGCAGCCTTTATCTGCAAATAAAAAAGAAAAGTTAAACATGAAATCTGTCCATTAACGTGTGCTTCATATCAAACTGATTTCCGTTTTCTCTGACTTGGTTTGAAGTTTGCATGCATTATACCTTAGTTAACTGAGGGTTTGGTTACACAGTGCTTCAACAAATAAGAAAGGTTCAAAAAGATCCAGCATTTCTTACATAATTCCAATTCCACTTCTTCTTTGTCTCGTTTTCTAGGTTTCTGCTCAGGTCTAAAATATAACTTGTACGTCTGTTCTTGTTGAATCTCTTTGATGACCACCCTGATATTTTTCCTTTCTTTATCATGGTACACGGAAAAACTTCCTTCGCTTTTCCACACATCTTTTTGATTAGTTTGAATGATTATTTGACTTTTTTTACGAACTAAATCAATACGTGCATATGTTTCCTTATTTTGAGGGTATCCGCAGGTAAAATCAACCCATCCACCTCTGCATCCCTTCACCTTAGAGCTGGCCTCACAGCCTGTAGAGAGAGAGAAACGTTCATGTCAGATTCTCAAACTAAATCAGGATTTCAGGATTAATTATTAAATCACACATCTAAAAAATGTTTACATGAAATGTTGATATACAAAAACACGACGTACAGTATACAAAGCAAAGTACACACATGAATACAGTAGCAGCATTTGATGCTGTAGGATTTTACTCTTATCGATAAATATGATGTACTTGTGATCAATAAAATAAAACAATTAGCTCAAACTTGATGCCGTTTATTTGATCCAAATCAGCCATCGGGTATAAGTAATCTTTTTACCTGTCATCAGTGAGAGGAAGAGCAGCAGAAACCTCTTCATGGTGCTGCTGTCCGATGCTGAGATCCTGAGGTCAGATTATTAAACTGGTCTGTCTCTAAAGTTCGTTGGTACGAGTGTTATATTTTCCAATTACTGTTGTGCCTTACCTTAAATATTTCTACCCCCAGCTTTCTCTCTGCCCTTCCCCTTTTTCTTCTGCTTAATAATCAAAGCTCCTTTCTCATTATATTTAGCCTTCACAGTACACAGGAAATAAGTTGTGAGAAAGAGAGACACAGACAAATACACTTTGGATTATCAGGAAGTCCCTGACATAAACACAACATGTCAGAAACTTTGAATAAACATTTCAGAAACTTAGAATAGATATTTTTTGTATCATTCCGCATTTGGTTGATTAAGAAAATCAACATCAGAAATCTGATGGTCACAGGGTAATAAAATGACTCATGTTTTTTTTTAATCTGTGAAGGAGAAGTTGGGGACTTTTTTAACCAGACGCTGTTTATAACGATTACATTGGTAAGTATAACCCCCCCCCCCCTCCTGTGTATGAGGGTTTTACAGCATTGCATCGGTCTTGCTATATTAAGCCAACAGGATATGACTGAAATTGAACTTCCTGCAAAAACACTAACCACAAGAAACTGTTGCTCATGATGTGTCATCTTATACTTAGCTCTTCATAATTCAATTGATTTAAACACAAACAAACACATTACACATTTATTATTGTTGTTATATTTTTACACGGTCCTCCATTAGTTTTAAATGTTTTCTATCACCAGTTGATGTAATACGCGTTGGCCGGCTTTTTGCCAACAATGCAGCAGTGTACAATGTTTTATATTTTCCCTTTTAATGGACATTTTATAGCATACAGAGAGCATATTCTCTAAGTTCTCTAAGCTAAGTCAAGTTAAGTTTCCTAACATTGAAGTCTTTATCTGGTAAAGACTGTTTGAATGCTCCTTTCCTTAAGGTGATTCTGGTGTAGTTTTATCCTATGCACACTCATTATCCAGAGTTAAGTTTTGGTTTCCAGTTGTAAAGAGCTGTTTTCGTAAATCCATCAGGAATTCAATCGACTCGGCAAGAGGAAGTCTCTAAAATGCTCTCTACTAAAAGAAGAACTGCAGTGCTCTGTAGCGAACCAAAACAAACAAGCCTGAAAACAATCCTATACAATCTTTAATTATGACATGGGAAATCTGTGTTGATCCAATATGAGGACAGCTTGCTTAAACCATCTATAGGACCATCTGTTGGGGCTTCTAAAAGATCAAACTGTTCTCCTTAGAGAAAAGAAAATGTGAACAGACTTGGACAGTTACAGAAAACCTCGATCAGTGCTGTCGTCATTTAAGTTACATTGGTACGCAGTGGAACGATATTTTTCTTCTTAGCGGAAGCAACATCTGTTGGGGCTTCTAAAAGATCAAACTGTTCTCATGAGAAAAATAAAATGTGAACAGACTTGGGCAGTTACAGAAAACCTCGATCAGTGCATGCCGCACTTCCTGCCATTGGTACGCAGTGGAACGATATTCTTCTTCTTAGCGGAATCAATGCGATAATGTTTAAGTCAATTAATCATAT